TGGAGATGAATCTCCTGTAGTAAGACGCTTATGCGTCGAAGGCCTTGTTCAGGTGTCTGTACTTGTTTTTTCTTTCAATAAGCTGTTCTTGTACTCCTCGACAGGTGCCCCATGACGATATGGCGCAATACGCACCGCAGGTGTTGGGTGTAATCGTTACTCTGATTGACGACGATGTGGAATCTGTATCGTATGCCGCCGTGCAAGGTCTCCCACTGGTAAGAGTCGGGTTTTCTCCGCTTTATTTGTTCTAATTACCTTCGCGTAGGTGCTCGAGATAACAACAGAAGAGACAGTGGTTCCGGTTTTGCTTAACCTCTGTGTACGTTTAAGATCTCTCCAGGTACTCGGTTTGTTACATACATGTTGGTTCAATGCTTGAAAGATTGTTGTTAGACGAGGGAGAGCGTTCATATGAGAGCAGCATCGTTTGGTGCACTTGGGACGCTAAGTGCTTTTGCCACTGGATCGCAACTGGATGCATTTCTGGAGCAAGTAAGCTGAACCTTACCCGAGCAATGCTTATTCGTGCGCTCGTTACAGATGCACTCAATCCTCCCGCGTGTGCTTTTGCATATAAATGACGAGGATTCATCTGTCCGACAAGCATGCAAGGTATCCCAGTGAAGTGTTTCTTTCATTTACATTCCACTGTTGTTCTTTTTCACAGACAACATTCAAGAGAATCGCTCCTCTCCTTCAGGCTGAAGAGCTCAAACATGTGGCGAGACTCGACTGCAAGGAATCGGACAACAGGCTCGTAGAATCTCGATCTCCTCAAAGTGAAACTAACCTTTTCTCTTTCCGCAGGCTGTATTACGACGCGTTCTTGAAGGAAATAACGAGACATCTGATAACTCGATTTTCAGACAGATTGGACACATACTTGTCCTGTGCAATCCAGGTAAGGACGTGGTTTCCCTGTTGCTCACTCCTAAAAGAAAAGCTCCCGTTTGATTCCACAGGCGTTTGATTCGCCATGGCCGCGGGTCCAAGCCAACGCTGTTTCGTTTGTAGCCTTTATGCTGTCACAGCTCGAAGATCAAAGATCCTCCTCGATTTACGTGCCACAGGTAATGCTTGAAAACTTGGGAAAAAGTAAAAGTTCGCTTACTATTCTACTTTTATGCTCGATCAATCAGGTAGTGACACTGCTAATGCGAGCTGTCGAAAATTCGCCCAGCCAGATTGTAAGAGCCCGATCGGCATGGGCTCTTGGAGTTCTTCTTGAGCAGCTTAAATTGTCATCAAGTTTTAGTGGGGACGTTCTTGCGGGATGTACATAATGTGAATTATATGACATTAAATACAAATAACTTCGTGAATTTCTAAACTATCTTACAATTTATCATGACATTAAGAGAATTACACATCCAATGACTAATTAATGTAAACCATTGGTTTTAAAAAATTATTTACTATAACAATCATTTCAATCATATGCCACTATTACTCTTTTTTTTAATTTAGATTATTTACTTTCAACTTTATGTCATGAAAGTTTTTGCACAAAATAATCAAGAGTGATATTAAATTTAATTGAGAATTTATAATAAATGTTTAAGTTAAACATTGAGCTAACTAATTAAACTTAAAATTTGTTGTTTATATGCATTATAAACTTAAATTTAAATTACCATAAAATAACAAAATATAGAAAGTTAGAATATCTTTACAAGATTCAATAACTAGGATTTATAATACTTCTCAAAGATTAATAACTTGTATAAATTTATAATTGAGAAAAGTAAAAATAATAAAAGAAACTACATAATAAAATTACTTAAATTTATTTAGTGATACTTTTGAGTAAGTTTAAGAATTTAAATTATAATAAATATTTTAAATTTATCACTATCTTTTATTTATGACTTTTAGAGTTTGTCATCAACTTACTGTTAGTATTGTTTATTTTCTTTAGCATATGACAAATGCAAAATGATGCATATGACAAATGCAAAATGATAATAGAAAATAAAAATATAGACATATTTACAGAAATAGTTTCTTTATATTTTTCTACACAAAATTATTAATAGCATACGCTACTCTCACCTATAACATCACATTAAATTTTCAACAATAACAATTTTAATACTCACTTACTTCAAGAATTTTCAGTATTGGTTTGATTTATATGCCACTTCCATGGATCAATACAGAAAAAAAAAACAAAAATGTAAGAAATTTTAGATAATAAAAAAAACACTATTTTGTAAAATATATAATCATAAATTACTATTGGAAACAATTGTAGAAATTTAGATATGCAAAAAACCTTTACACAAATAAAATATAAATTTTTAATATAAATATTTTACTTTATTCAAATTATTAAATATTCCATAATATAAAGAACATTTTCAAATATTTTTTGCCCTAATATTATATAATAAAAAGATTTAAACATAAATGTTTTTTAGTAAAACAACTTATATTTGTTTAGTAATGGCAAGAAAAAGGGTAAACCCAAATATCTATTAAAATATTCTTTAAAAAACTACTTTGAGGTTACTCGAAGAGCATAAATTGAAAAGACATTTAGGCTTTTGAAAAGAATTATAGAAAATAATAAGTTAAAAAATTATTCTAAAAAAATTCAGTTTTATTTTATATATATATAGATAAATGCATAATCAACTATAAATTATCTGAAAAAACCAGAAAATTTAATAATTTTACAAGAGAAGGCTCTATAACTTTTCAGATAAATTCCTTCCTCTTTGTCATCTAATATACATTTACATTCTTTCTTTTATAGGTGAATTCCCTTGTTGATCCTAAGAAATCTAAAGATTATGTACTAGTTATTTCATCCAATAAGAAAAGGATGAAAGTTAGTGGATAACTTGTGCTAATCTTTACTTAAAGACTCTCAACGCACTTATATTATTGCATGTAAATGCAAAATAATAAGAGGCAATAGATTTGAATATGACATATGGTTTGAGACGAAAATAAGAACTTGAGATATATTGACAAGCTAAATAATATATCTTTTATGAAAGCCTACTTTTGTATTTAAAGGTTGTATTCTTTAACTTAATAACTAGTTTTCTTAATTCAAAAAAGGTTTTACAAAAAAGAGAGGCGTTTTGCTGAGGAATTTCCCTTTTTATAATTTAGACCTAGTTTATGTCTTGATGTTCTAAAAGAAAGGCAACCTCATTGCGCATACACATTTGCAAGAATAAAAAAGGGAAGATAAAAAACATATGTTCTTCGTTGTCAAGTCTGCAGTAGGTGCAGGAAGTCGATGAGTGGTCCTCTCTGTTACTAGTGCAAGATGCCACTGGACACATGTCAAATTCATGTTTCACCTCGCTCAGCCAATGAGCACTTAGGGTTTCGGCCTGGATATAAAATGTATGAGCTAAGTATTTCAATAGATAGAGGAACTTATCAAGCAAGAGAAAGAGCCACTCCAAGTTTGTTTGTCTAAGATATGAGCTGGGGCACATACCATGGCTCCAAAGCCCAGCCAAGTTGTGGAACGTCTCTACAGCCTCGCTCAGAGCAGACACATCACTCTCCAGTCAACTTTCTTTCAAGAGATTTCTACTCTTCCTCTTGTCCAAATTTTGACAAGCATGGGCTTTTCCTTCACAGGTTGGCTACAAGGATTACCAATTCTTCTTCAGCTCATCCAATAGGCAAGAAGGCATGGATGGCCACTGCAGCTCAAGAGTTATATAGCAAATCATTATATAAAGGTGGTGGAAGATAAGGTTTATGATAGAATAAAGTGGATGGGTAATAGAATGAATATAAAATATAAAAATGAGAGAGTAGAGGATTTTAATTAGGTAGGCTTGATGGTTTAGAGTTTCTTGAGCTGAATTCTTTGTACTTTTAGTTGCATGCTGTGAGAGAAAGATTAGAGGTGAGCTCTCTACAGTCGAATAAATTTATAGTTCTAATTAATAGGCATATATAGTTTTACTATATTTGAAAATTATTCTACATGATCAATTTAATTAATAAATAGGAATCACACTACTATTAAGCATTACTGCAATGTGCAGAAATTTTTTTGACAACAATTCAATGGAATTTAACAATTTCTATGTATTGTTTCTTTCCAAGAGGTTCATTCATTTATTCATTTTTATATTATTCACAATGCCCCCAATTAGAAGAATGAAACCAATGGATTCAAAGTATGCTACCATCAAACACTTGTTCTGTTCAATCTCTTTTACAACATTGTCCCTTCCACAATAAAGAGCAAGTGGAATGGCTAAGAAGATTGAACACTAGATAATGAACTTTGCTAGTATTTGTGTTATGACTAAGGAAGCCAACTTTTTAAATAACGAAAGAACCAAACCAAAGACCAACTAGTTTTCCTACCATTCTAAAAACATGTTATCTGTTTTGCAAGCTATACAGAATTATAAAAGCTCCCAAAATTTATGGCACATTGCCACCAAGAAAACTTTCTTTCCATGGTGAAGTACCATAGATCCACCAAAACTGCCAGATTCTTTGTTAGGTACCAGTGCTGCAAGGCCGACATTCTATCTCACTCTCAGAATCGTTCTCAACACTTGCACTCGGGTTGAAGCTCTGGAATGATCCACCAGAGCTAGTGTGCATTGAGCACAGCATTTTGTGAATCAAAAGCTTTGAAGTTAATGTCTCACGTAAACAAGATGAAACCCTCAAGAGGAGCTCATGAGCGTCAGCCACCTAAAATAGAATAGGTGACAAGAAGAGTAGAATCTACTTGCATATTCTGTATAGAAAAATAATGTACCACTCCAATTGAAGGTGTACATGTATGTAAACATATGATGCCATCGTCATAGCTTTCCAACAACCAGAGAATCGACGGCTCTAGGTGGCACCACGCGCTGCAACATCATTGGCTCCCAAGTATTCCGGACCCTCCTTCCCACATGGACGATGTGAGACCATCGTAAGCTCCGGCCCATGCCCATCCATGGCCTCATGCGCATGCCCATGGATGTCCCATTGCTTAAGAGCTAATCGCGATTATTTAGTGGCCGGGTTTTATATCCACGGCCTTTGTTTGTTCGCCAGGAGAGCTCGTCCTCCGCCCCCCCGCCGGGATTTCTCCTCTCCTCCACCCCCTCCGCGCGGATCTCACATTTCTCCCGATCTAGCTTCTCAATCAGCGCCGCGAGCGAGGGGATCGAGCGATGGATTGCGCTCCCGGGGCGTCGCTGTCGGCGGCAAGGGTAGGTCTCAATTTCCAGCACGGAGATTTCCGGAGCGCAAGGCCCAGGTCTGGCTCCTCCATCGCCTCGTCCTCCGGCCGCTCCGGCGCTCTCGTCGTCCAATCCAAGAAGAAGGGGCCCGAGGAATGGAGCTATCCGTGGCCCAAGAAGATCACCAAGGACATGCAAAAGGATGCGCTCAATCTCCTGTGCCGATACAAGCCCCTGCCGGTCAAGCCCAAGCCCGTGACGCTCCCGTTCGAGAAACCTATCATCGATCTCGAAGCTAGAATCGAAGAGGTATGATCTTACACTCCATCTAGAGCTAGCAAAAAGTTTTGGTTCCATCCTCGCTTGTTCTCTTTGCTTGCATGCCGTGTTTTTCTGTGCTCGTGTGTGATCTTTGGCTCTAATGACCTTTGGTTTTCTCGATATCAGGTGCGAGATCTTGCCAATAAGACTGGCGTGGATTTTAGCGGCCAAATCGAAGAGCTCGAGCAAAAATACCACCAGGTTGGTCCGACGAGTTTTTAGTTCCTGCTAAGTTTTGTTTTTGTTGGCAGGTCCGGCAAGATCTTTACAAGAATTTGACACCGGTCCAGCGATTGAATCTAGCACGTCATCCGAACCGTCCTACATTCTACGATCATGTTTTAAATATGACTGACAAGGTAACACAACGGCCGTGGACTTGTTTTCCATTTTTTTCGAAGCCTTCATCTTCTTAGCCTTTGAACTTCGTGTTTCAGTGGCTGGAGCTTCACGGTGATCGTGCTGGTCACGACGATGCGGCTATAGTTACAGGAATCGGAAAGATGGAAGGCATGAGCTTTATGTTTATTGGACACCAGAAGGGACGGAACACCAAGGAGAACTTGTATCGGAACTTCGCCATGCCTCAACCTTGGGGGTATGTATAGCGTTCTTTCACTTGCAGAAAGTTATATGCCGTGGTTCTTTTTCCAGATACCGTAAGGCTTTGAGGATGATGAAGCATGCAGCGCACCATGGATTTCCTATTTTGACATTTGTGGACACTCCAGGTGCTTATGCCGGTCTTGAGGCCGAGGAAACTGGTCAAGTAAGAAACTTTGTTTTGTGTTCTTGTTTTCTGACTTCCCTCTTTTATCTTTGCTAGGGAGAGGCAATTGCTATGAACCTCAGAGAAATGTTTGGCTTGAAGGTTCCAATTATAACAACCGTCATTGGAGAAGGTGGCTCTGGTGGTGCACTAGCAATTGGATGTGGCAACAAGATGCTTATGATGGAAAACTCCGTCTATTACGTGGCCAGGTTTGTACACTTTCTGGAACCTCTTCCGGTTTCTAACTTTTCCCTTCCTCGTACAGCCCTGAAGCGTGTGCTGCGATTCTTTGGAAGTCCGCTGAAGCTGCGCCAAAGGTAATGCGAAAGTCTTCTGGTGCGTAAATTTTGACGAGATTCGATTTTGTCTCCAGGCAGCAGATGCTCTGAAAATTACGCCAACCGACCTTAAGGAGCTTAAGATTGTGGACGAAATAATTCCAGTAACCAAAGCCTGTTTTCTTCTCTGTTTGCTAACAGAGATCATCGGTTTTGCAGGAGCCGCTTGGAGGCGCACAGTACGATCCCGAAACCGCCTCGAAAAACATAAAGAAAGTTTTGCTTAGACACATGGAGGTATGGATGAACGTCTTCCGTTTCGAGACATAAATTTCGTCGTGATTGCAGGACCTGCTGAAGATGGATACTCAGTCCCTATTGAAGCAACGCCACAACAAGTACCGCTCAATCGGAGAGTTCGAGGAGTTTGCGAATCTCGATTCCTCCGAGAAGCGCAGCATGAAACCCCGCGACGCGCCTGTCCCGGAGGAGCCGGCGGAGGAGCTCCTCCTCCCAGACGGCCTCTCCACGTCCAAGCCAGCGAATGGATTTCCATCGTCTCTGCGAGTGGATGGAGTCCCAGTGAGCAGCGTCGAGTATGCGAGTGCAAAGGAAAGAGCGGTCTAAGTTAAGTTTTCTCCATTCCAAGATCACCAAGAACAGCAAGAAAGAAAAAAAGAGGAAGTTTTGGGACGAGCGAGCTCTCTACTAACAACCACGAGACGACAGATCAGAAGAAAGAATATAGCGCGTAGGATCACAGCTCCAAGATGGTGTGTAAAACTATCTATACGTATCATTGGAATAATAAAAGAGTGAGGTTTCTTTTGAAACTATAGGGCAAGATGGAAGAGCGCTATGGCGGAGCAATGTGATGATCGATGATGCGCGTCTAGGGAAGATTTCCTCATGGCTGCATTGGCGCAGAGTGGAGCTCGGCGCATTGGATTTGGGCAACCGCTGCTAGTTTCCTCGAGGCCAAGACCTAGCTTGGCCGTGCCGGGGAGAAGAACGCGCGGCTGGAAGCGATTGCTCGTCAGGGAGCGATCCTCCACACAGGTAATCGCTCGCATTTTTCCGAAATTCTTTCTCAAGCCGGGCATGGATCGTTTCTGCCAGTGGGAGTTCCTCCTGCCGTGTTCCTTCTCGTCACAAAGCGAGGGCAGCGGCGATGACGACCAGTATAAGGGCGAGCCGGGCGATCCACCATCGTCGTCGTCTCCAGAGCTCTCCTGGTGGATGAGACTGCGGAAGGCAAGGTCTCGTTACATTCTCACACTCCATTTTTCTTTTTCTTTCTTTCTCATTCATCGCGAGCTATGAACTTTCTTCTTTTCCACAGGTCGATTTTCTCCAGCTCCTTCTAAACCGCTCCCACAAAGACAAGGCCTGGGCAGTCCCCTGGACAGGGCACACCATCTTCCAGGTAAAAACAATCAATCTTTTCCATTGAGAGCTCTTTGGCTCGAGCTCTCGAGCTTTCTCTTCTAGTGTCATCCAACTTCTTTCCATTTTCTTGACATTTTCTTGACAATTTATCTTCGATCTCAGAACTAAAAGCTGGTATCTCTTTCTTTCAGGTGATGTTCTTGTGGTTTGGAGCCTTCTGGCTGGTTGGCTCGTGGTTCATCCCCATCGCCGCTCACGCGCTGGGCTACAGCAAAGACTCGCTCACATACCGCGGCCAAGCGCTCTACAGCCTCGTCACGGACATCGCCGAAGGCACTGTCGGGCTGGGAATCCTCCATCGCTGCCTCGCCGAGTTTCATCCCCTCTCCAAGGACTGGTTCCCGGTAAGTTGGCAGGGACAGTGGTACGTCGAGGCCTGCCTCGGCTGCCTCATCTTCCCGCTCGTCAATCGCCTCTCGCAGTTCAACCTCGATCTCCTGCCGCTGCCATCGCCATTCACGGCCTCGAGCGTGGAGCAGTCCATCTCCGCCAGGGATCCCATCGCCACCCTCCTCTACGCGGTGGTGGTGTCTGTGTGTGCGCCGGTGTGGGAGGAGGTGCTCTTCCGGGGGTTTTTGCTGCCATCGCTCACGCGCTATCTGCCTCTGTGGGCGTCCATCGCCATCTCCGCGCTCGCCTTCGCACTGGCGCACTTCAGCCCCCAGCGCCTCCTGCCGCTCACTTTCCTGGGTCTTGTGATGGGGGTGGTGTTTGTGAGGAACAGGAATCTCCTCTCGTCTATGCTGCTCCATAGCCTGTGGAACGTCTTTGTCTTCGTGGAGCTCCTCAGGTGATAAGCTAGAAAACAACCGCGAATTTAATCAAAAGAAATTTTGCTAAGTCGTAAACATAACAGAATCTCATTAAAAAGAATCTAATCTGAGCAAGAGAATCTTTGAAAGTTGCATTATAAACAACTTTGCTACCTGCAGATAAGAAGAATATAACTTAGCGTTTTGAGATTATTTTGATATGAATAGTAAGTCAATACATTTTTTAAAAAAATTCAAAGTTAAAAGCAAGTTTTCTTCTACTTTAGGTATTTATTTCATTAAAATATTTTTAACATAATCGCTTGATACCTTTTTCGAGCCAATGCCCAGTAGTTAAGAAAAGTCTAGATCACCCTTTTGATGGTTTCTAGAGACCAAGTAGAGAATCCCAAAGGTGGCAAGCATTGCGATCCAACCGCCAACCGTGACGCGTGTCGAGGCGGCGAGGATGGGCGCCTTCCCAAGCCTCGCCCCGCATGCCCCAAATGCCGCCAGTCCCATGCTTGTCGACAAACCGATAGCCGCCAGCCGCCAGCGGTACGCCTCCACGAACCCCGCGGCAAGCAGCGGCACAGCGCCGCCGGTGGTAAACGCCACCGCCGACACCGCAGCCGCCTGCCACGGTCGCGCCAGCGCGTCCACGTCGATGCCCAGCTCCTCCCTCGCATGGACTTTAACCACGTCCTGGCCGTCGCGGGATAGCTGTGCAGCCACCTCTCTCGCCAGCTCCGGTGTCAGTCCGCGCGTCACGTATATCTGGGCCAACTCCTCTAGCTCCCGTGCCGCCGCGTCACCCCCGGCGGCGTGCTGCCGCCGCTCCCTCTCTATCTCGGCCACCTCGGTGTCGCGCTGCGAGGACACCGACACGAACTCTCCCACCGCCATGCTGCACGCGCCGGCGATGAGGCCCGCGATGCCCGAGAGGATGATGCTGCGCTCGTTACTGTTCCCGGCACTCACGCCCAGAAGGAGCGATGCTATCGAGACCAGGCCATCGTTGGCGCCAAGGACGAGAGCCCGCAGCCACGGAGCTCTGTGAGCGACGGGGAGGCCGCTCCCGCAGTCCTCTTTGGCCGCTTCTCCATCTCCCTCGGTTTGTTGGTTTGCTGCTTCATTTGGTAGCTCTGCCTCGTGATCTAGTTGCTTTTCTAGATCCTCGACTTTGGAACCGTGGAAACACATGATCGAGCTTCTCAAATACCCGACATTTTCTGCGATCCAAACCGCAATGTTAAAATCTAAATTAAAAAAAAAAAAAAACGATTAAACATGCCTTACCTGTGCTGTTTCCAAGATCTGGGAGAAGAATTCTAAAAGTGGGGCAAGAAAACAAATGTGAATACCTGGTAACTGAAATATATAATTCTCGGATCCCGCAAGAGCAGCATTCTCGTCCGAACGCGTGGTCTTAAGTTGTAACGAACTGTGGAGTCCATGAGCCGAGCACACTCCCCGGTCCCACTGTTTGGTTTCTACGAGGGAAGCTTTGTCCGTGTCTGTCTCGTCCAACTCGACGCGGTTCGTCACGTCACTTCCTCCGCATCATACGTTATGCTCCTCCTTGTCGTCTGGGAGCTGCATTCCCATCATTCCCAGACTGGTCCTGCTGCGATGAGTACGAGTCGAGCAAGTTCTTAAGCAGGTTCATGTCCACGTCCACGGGGCCTGGAGTTTTTTATTTCTTTTTCTCTGTGGCGTGCAGGATATGACGAGCGCAAGCTATTGTGGTCGTCCTTTGAGAACCAGCAGTTCTACACTGTCGATGTGCAAGTGCCGGGTAAGTCAACTGCAGACACGTTATCTCATGTTTTTTTCTCTTGCGTACTACTGTACAGGTCTCTCGTCGCTGGATCAAGTGCATGTTGAAAAACATGGAAGGGGTGTGCTTGTTTCCACGGAGAAGGACGTTTACCGCCCTGAGAAGCTTGCCGTTCCTCTTTACACAATGTCGACGGTTTAACAGCTAATCTGCAGGATGAGATTCTCACCATTCGCCTTCCCAAAATGGTCGCTGCGCTTGAAGGGACAGCTTCGACAGTGCCAACTGAGGACTGTGACGAGGCCGAGCTGGACATGAGTATTTTGTTATTTTTCTTTTACCTCTACTAATTTCTTTTCCTTTTCTGCTGCAGCCACGAGCAAACGTCTCAAGGCAGCTATTATAGATGACAAGCATCATGTCAAAGTTCCAGGTATGTCCCTGAAAACTTTCACGTTTTCTCAATAGCTTTCTGTGCAGGAAGTGATTGTGGACAATACAGGGCCGGAACTCGTCGTTAAGACCACTGCCAACGTCTTCCACCAAACAAAGTTTAAGCTTCCCTCCAGTGCTGACGTGAAGCAGGTGAGAGCGTCTTTCTGGAACAGCTTGCTTACCATTTGCATTCCCAACAGTGCAACAGACACTCGGGAGCTGAACATGAGTATTTTGTGTTTTTTGTTTTCACCTCTACTAATTTCATCTCGTTCTCTGCTACAGCCACAAGCAAATGTCTTGAGGCAACTTTTGCCTCTATATTTGTGAGTCTATAAAGATACTACATTAATAGCTCTAAAAAATAAACAAAGATTGCAAAAGTCCTCTTTTAGTTTCTCCCATGGCACCTTTACCCACTAACATAGCTTACATGATTTTCAATACTTGGAAGATATTAATTTTTATATTCCTCTATTAAAATTACATTTAATCAAACTCATATCTTAACAGGGGTGTTGCAGAGCTGAAAAAGTGTGGCATAGTATAAACTCTTGAATTTAGACTTCTTGAGAAATCACTCCAACTCAATATTATTCAAATCTAAAGACATTTAAGTATAAAACCTTTAACCAATTGGAAAAAGGTCCTTCTCCCTTTATATTTGAACTTAATAAATTGTCTCTTAAGTCATTCTTTTTATAATTTAACTTGATTCTCTAGAAGTCTACGCTTTTATGAATGGAAGTTGAAAGTTGTAGCTCTCCCAAGAGCTTTACTCTCTTGACAACTTACCCAAACTAGGTTTGACAGATGTCAATCTCAACATATGATGTGATTTCACTAACTAACCAATAGAGTCAAACCTGAGACCTCCTTGATACTAAATATAAACTCATGAATTTGGACTTCTTGGGAGTTCACCTAGCCCAATATTATTCAAATCCAAGACACTTAAACTCAAGTATCTCAAAACCCTTAACCAATTGAAAAAAGAATGCACTTTTATTCATAAATCTTTCCACTTTATTTGAACCTAATGAATTGCTTCTCAAGTCGTTCTTTTTATACACTTAGATATTCCACTTCTAACTTTACAAATTTATATTTACTTTTCTTCACGTAAAGTTTGCTATTATATAATAATATGAAAACCTTGCACAAATACACCTTATACTCCTCCATATTCTTGTTAAAAACAATCTCCATAAACTCATAAAAAGAATGCCTAAACACCTCCATCATCAACCGAATAAATATAGTTGGTGTATTTATCAAACCAAATAGCATAATTATGTACTCAAAATGCTCAAAGCTCATGTTGAATGTTATTTTGAAAATATATGTGTTATTCATTGCAATTTGATGATATCCACTCTTCATATCAATCTTGGTAAACACTTAAACTTCACCAAGCTTGTCTAAAATATTATCTATATGTAGCATTTGCATTTTATCTTTCACCATCTTTTTGTTCAATACACAATAGTCAATATATATTTACATTGACCCATCCTTCATCTTCATAAATAAGACTAGTGCACCAAAAAGAGACTTACTTGGTTAAATAAATCCAAAGTCAAGTAATCCCTTCATTTATTATTGAACTTCTTGTTCCTCTATATAGTTTACCTAAAATGGACACCAGTAAATTGGCCTTGTCCCTAGCTCCAAAGTAATTTTATGCTCCACACTTTGTAATAGAGTTAGCCTATGAGGAAGTTTGGATAGAAAAGCATCGAAAACTTTTTTAATACATTCCTCTCTTGCACATGTGCCTTAGTCTCCTAAATCATGAATAAATAGCAAGTAACTCAAAAGTGGCTTTCCATTATGATAAGCTCACTTAAAAAATGTAGCAAAGAACATAACAATTGAAGGCTAAATTCTCTCTCCAAACCATATATCCTTAATGCCATTATACTCTAGAAAGACACATTTAATGCTCCATTTTATTTCTAAATCCATCTTCACCAACCATAGCATCACAAGAATAGAACCCATATAAATGTTGTTTTGCTAACCAACACTTTTAACCCTTCTACGCAAGCATTGACATGTTGAGTAGGGGTAATTGGACCTTCCACCATGTATGTGTTTTTAAGTTGTGCTTAACAAACTTTGCCAAAACAAAATTGTCATCAGTCTCACTATCCAGTAAAATCCACATTGAACCTCTATAGAACATGCCCTTTAGCATTAAAGCTAATGCATGAGTAACCTCTATTTTGTTCTATACATAGTTGAATTAACAAACAACGATCAAAAGCCTCTTCTTATGACCGGAATAGGCTTTTTTGTCATCCTCATACTGCAAATTTTGCAACTTCTTAATATACAACTTACTGTTATTAGAAGATTGGCTATTTTTTTTGCTATGTTGTTTTCTTCAGTTGTAGACAATCAACTTTGTAGTGTCTAAGCTCACCATAATAATGACAATGTTTAACAAAGAACTTTGGCTTCTTTTACCCCTTTGCATCCAAAGTAGTTACCATAGACTTCAACTTGTGATATTTATTCCCATCTTTATGTCAATAGTGATAATCATGATTGTTCTTGACAAAAATACTCAAACACTTGTGAAACTCGTGTTTGTCATTGTTATGTTGATGAGCCACATCAAAAAGCTCCTTCAAACTCTTAAATGGCTAAGAATGATGCAAGTGTTGCCATATACTCTTGTTGTAGAGGCCATAAATGAAGTAAGATTTATTTTAATTTGGATCCTTTGTTGGAACACAACTAATGAAGTAAGTAAACTTCTCAATATAATTTCTGAGCGTCATTTTCCCTTATTGGAAATCTTGAAGTTCCATGTAAGCATTCTCCATGTCATAGTGAGGGGCAAAACATAAATAAAAAGTAACCTTAAACTCATCCATAGTAGACACTAATGATTTATTGTCTATAATACAAAACTCCTCAAGCCAACTTTACTATTGAAAACTCATATCACATAAAACCATTGGAATAGTCATTAAAGCTTTTGCATCTAGAATTCCTCTAGCAGCAAAAAACTTTTTCATATTGGCTAGCCAAGCCAAAGACTCATTCACAGCACCATCAGTGGAAAAAGCTGAAATCTTAAATTAATCCAACAAGTAAGTTTTACTTAGAGTGCCACCACATCCACACCCACGCATGGTATCATCATGTCATGCATCTCATCTTGCATCTTTTGCTAATTTTAATTAAGGGCTTGTATCTCATGACCAACATCTTGAATAATTCAAACTTCTGGGACTTCATTGGCAACTTCATTATGTGGTCATAACACAAATTATAGCAAATGAATGTTATAACATTTCCAAAACTTTAATAGACAAACTTTCAAGGAACCAATGTACCAAGTACCAACAAATTCATTTACAAGCTATAACAATTGAATGTTATAACTTTTCTGAAACCTCAATAGACAAATTCTTAAAAAACCAAGGTACTAACACTATCTTTAGTCAAAAATACTACAATATTACTATTTATAAGTAAATAAATTAGCATCATTATCAACTATTTTAGGATTGATCATCATTTGTAACTTTGTAAAGCAAGCAACTTTATAAATATATTGCTCATGATCACCAATATATGATATTGAAATCATAATGACTTGATTATTAATTACAAGGAAAGCCCAAATTAGTACTATAAAGATTTACATTAGTATAATATGCTAACTTTAATCAACAAAATACAACATAAATGCCACATTTCATTAATAGAGATTTACAACACTAACACCACTAACATTATTTGCGGTATAGATAAACTTATGCCACTTTTTTTCCAACCAAACTCAAAATTTATCAAAAACCAAGGAACTCAATAAGTTCCAAAAAAAAGAATTAAGCATTATAACCCAAGTCTAAGCAAAATAGTTTAGCTCTTTATCACTACCCATTCCATGGCATACCATTTCTAAAACCACCATAACTAACTTGTATTGAAGTAAGGATTCTTGATTACATGATGTGAACACGAGTAATAATATCACACCTTATTATAGATTATTTCTCAAAGAGGAAAAGATAATTTATAGTCCCTAATCTCTTTTTTCAAACTTAAAATAAATTAAACCTCAAGCTTGCACCCTCTAATGGAGTCACATTTAAGGATGTATGTCATTACAACAATAACTTGCCTTACAACATTCTAAAAAAAACTATAACAAATATCTCTTAGTGCATTCATCCTTTTCTTTAAGACTTTTGCAGTTTATAAGTGATTTTAAAATCCTTCTTTTGTGTAACTTGTGAAACATTTAATTACAATTGCTAATGTGGTGATATAATAACTTTTTTTTCATATTCAAATTTCACTAAACCTTAAGCATGCATTCTCACTGCCTTCATTCTAGCCTAGCAATTAAACTCACCATCTAACCTTTTTTTCAAACTCAAACTTGACTAAAACTTAAACTTGTGTTCACACTGCCTTCATTCCGGCTTAGCAATTAGACTCACCATCACTGGGCTGCGATCAACAGCATGCTTGCAGCACATTCTCAGCCAGGAAGAGATTAGCACAACCATGGAGCCCATGATCACCCTGCAGAGCACACTCACCATCACGTTGAGCTATGAGACGTCATTGTCAGTTGAGCTACAGTCGTTATATTTATCTCTTTGCTCGTTACAAAAAAGTATGATCAAGCTAGTGAACGATCAAACTAGTGAATGCCGCCTTGGATGATAAATTCCACTCCTGCCATGGAGAGCCACTCATAAACTGGTATGCTGCCCACGAGCCTCATCTCATGCTCATAAAATGTACATTGTCACGTTGAGTCAAAAAATTCCAACAGGTGCTTGTTGTCTCCAAAGTCCCTGGAAAGCAACAAACAACTATCAGTGATCCATGAGCATTCATAAATTTACAATACTGCTATAGTTGTGTTCTTGGAAGCCCCTGTAAAAAAAAAGTCATTCAGAGGGAACTAAGGAAATCCTTTTACCTTTATTCAACAAATACCCCTGCCTTTCATATGTGTCACGCTTGCCAGTAAAGCTTCCACGAGTGGAAACCGCTGGTTGTCCTTGCTGTTGAGAGCTCGGGCAACTTGTTCCAGTAGTGCAGCTGCGTCGACACGAGCAGGTCCAGTACCTGTATGAAACCTGAAAGAGTTACGTACTGAGAAACGAAAGCCTAGCGACTTAATACCAAGAACATCTTTAGTTAGAAGTGGTGCTGTAGCAGACGTGTACGAAGTCCACGCCACCTCCAACGCGCTCTTATTGTCAACCACCCTTGACATCTTTGTTAGTGGAAGGTGTGCACCCTCATCCCTGACAATTAACATAAGCCAAAATCAAAGAAAATTGAAAAACCAAACCTGAACTGCTTAGCTAAGATGTAGGGGTAGGAGCCCTTGAGAACCTGTTGTATCTCACCCCATGCAGTAGTGTTGCAGCCACTCCAGAGTCTGTGTGTAGCGACCTAATACAAAAGAAGAATATTTTAAACACACAAAGGAAATTACCATACCAGGAAGTACGCTCGAGTTAACAAGCTGACATCCCTCGGCGAGAGACGAGCCCAGTCAGAATTCCCATGTTGCGCAATAGTCTTCAATGCTGCATACACGTTACCGGGGTACCCAGCTAAATCGCTGAGCCGGTCGTAACCTGAAATATACCACTAAGAACTATTATTGTGAAATCTTTAATCCATACCTGACAGCTCCATCAAGTCGTTGACAGCTGCCTCCACTTCTGCTGGTGTCGGATTTCCCAGGTTCGGATTATTTATCGCCAACTGGATCCCAATCTCATGCTTGAAAGCATAGAGAGTTTCTAAGCGGATTTGCTTTAGAAACTCAAAATACTGGATTTGCAGCATGGTAATGGAGGAATCAGCTCCCAAAACAACGACCGTTTCTTTGTTCTGTCCAAACCTATGTAGTTCAGCAAGCTTTACTCGATCCAGTTCTTCAATGTCGATTCCTGTGTCGAGGAGAACTCGAGCAAGGGGCTTCTTCAACGCTGCCACACCAGAGTCTGTAGATAAACTCGCAGAATTTGATGTAACGCCATCACCGCTTGCCACATTGCCTGCCGACTTCTTCAATGTGCCATCACCGCCTGCTGGCTCCTCCATGCCAAGAGCCTTTGCTAATCCATCCCTGAAGGCCTTCCCTACAGAGACATACCTTCGCAGCTTGAAAACCCGCATTGCTCTAGGCCCAGCAAAACCCTAGGCAGAGTCACAGCAAGCGAGCCAAGCCCTAGAATATGTTCAGGCGGCTGATTCACACAGCAACGGCGACTAGGAGTAGGAGCGGCATCCACACAGCAATCGCGAGTAGGAGTAGGAGCGGCAGCGAAGGGAGGAATGTCTCTCAGGTGAGCAAACCACCCACCCAGGAAGCCTACAAAGAGTTTGGAGAGTTTCTGTGGATGGTGATGCTCCGCCTAGACAACCGTGTCCTCGGCCAAGCCTTTAAGGTGCTGGGCAACTCTGATCTTACCACCAGATGCCTCCAGGGGTATCTCCTGCATCACAGGCTCAAGTACACCGAAATTGTGGGCGGCCAATTCCCCCGTCTTGAAAAACCACTCGGGTTTGACGACATAGGCGACTACCCCGTCCCATATACACACATGATCAAGCTCGTGGACGACGTCTGGGAGGATGCAAAGCGGGACTCGCGTGGAGAGCCCCCCCTACATTACTGCACACGTGAAGAAACACGCCTCGTCCACGACTTTTGCCGGAGTCTTGCCTGCCGAGCCGAGAAGGAAGTCTTCTCCGGGGAGCCAAACGTGCACGAGTTGCAGGAGCAGGCGCGTCTGTTTGGCGCTGAGTGCTGGACCAGGTTCTTAGGTCTGCAGTCCAGCAACCTCACCATTCTGATCGAGGAGCAATCTAGCTCATATGCTACACCAGTCGTTCCATGCACTGATTTCTTCTCCAACGCTTCCTTGACGAAGTGTGCCAGGAGCATCAAGTTGGCGCAGGAGGTGGCTGATGCCGGGGGGCTGCCGCAGTTCCCTGATCACGGCGGTCTAGTTGCTCTCTACAACTTTGAGAAGAAACATGCTTACCAGCTGCTGCTAAACTGCCTCAAGCACATTGATAAAGGTATGGCTTTGATCCTGCCTGGAGTTTTTTATTTCTTTTTCTCTGTGGCGTGCAGGATATGACGAGCGCAATCTATTGTGGTCGTCCTTCGAGAACCAGCAGTTCTACACTGTCGATGTGCAAGTGCCGGGTAAGTCAACTGCAGACGACGTTATCTCATTTTTTGTTCTCTTGCGTACTACTGTACAGGTCTCTCGTCGCTGGATCAAGTGCATGTTGAAAAACATGGACGGGGTGTACTTGTTTCCACGGAGATGGACGTTTACCGCCCCGAGAAGCTTGCTGTTCCTCCTTACGCCAACGTCGACGGTTTAATAGCTAATCTGCAGGATGAGATTCTCACCATTCGCCTTCCCAGGGTGGCCGCTGCGCTCGAAGGGACAACCTCGACAGTGCCAATTGAGGACCGTGACGAGGCCGAGCTGGACACGAGTATTTTTTCTTTTTTTTCTTTTACCTCTACTAATTTCTTTTCCTTTTCTGCTGCAGCCACGAGCAAACGTCTCCAGGCAGCTATTGTAGATGACAAGCTTCACCACATTCTTCGTGTCGAAGTTCCAGGTATGTCCCTGAAAACTTTCACGTTTTCTCAATAGCTTTCTGTGCAGGCGTGTCGCGAGAGGAAGTGATTGTGGACAATACAGGGCCGGAACTCGTCGTTAAGACCACTGCCAACGTCTTCCAGCAAACAAAGTTTAAGCTTCCCTCCAGTGCTGACGTGAAGCAGGCGAGAGCGTCTTTCTGGAACGGCTTGCTTACCATTCGCGTTCCCAAGAGTGCAACGGACACTCGCGAGCTGGACGCGAGTATATTGTGTTTTTTGTTTTTACCTCTACTAATTTCATTTCGTTCTTTGCTGCAGCCACGAGCAAACGTCTCAAAGCAGCTATTGCAAGCATCACCACATTCCTCGTGTCGAAGTTCCAGGTATGTCCCTGGAAACTTTCATGTTTTCTCAATAGCTTTTGCTTTGCGACCATGCAGGCTTGTCGCAAGAGGCTTGTCGCGAGAGGAAGTGATTGTGGCACAGAACGTCTTCCAGCAAAGGAAGTTTAAGTTGACCGTCTCTCCGGCTGGCTTACCATTTGCAGTAGGAACAAGTTTGTTATGTATTACAACTTCACAAGAAAGCAACCATATCCATGTTTAGCCATCTTGAGATTTATTTTTATAAAGGTTTAGTTCCAATGAAGTTCTAAGAGTAAAATTATTCTATTTCTTTTTGTTAAGAAAATACTTAATTTAACACAATAAAAGTATAAGATAATGAGTGTCATGTTTACTTTTTGGAGTTATTTTTCATACATGAATATTAATGTTTTTTTCATTAATATGTTTTCATCCTATGAGGCACAACAGGATTCAAAACATGTAAGATACATTGTTGTTTTAAAATAGCTTAGAATATGCTTAGAATATTCTTTATATAGTTACAATTTTTTAATCAATTTTGTAGTCTAGCTTTTCACAAACCATCCAATGATATAATCAGGCATATTCTAGGATGATAAGGTTAAAACATTTCTTGGTGGTGAGTTTTCATGACATATGGAAGATTTAAGCATTTTCTTACTAATGGTTGAACAACTTATCATTTCAGTGGGACCCATCGGTCTGTGCCTAGAGCAAAAGCATTTCTTTCATTAACCACCTGAAACAGTGAATATTATGTGTCATATAGGCATCAACATGGCATCTGGCGGAAGGCTTGTATTTTATCATATTTTGCTTATGAAAGCCACAGCATCACTGAACCCTACACATGCACTACTTCAGAAGCAATATATGAATGAGAATATATTTTACTTTTAATTTCTTGAATGTTTCAAGAGTACTTCATTTTTCTATAATCTGAAGTTTAGAAGAAATTTAATGGATAAATAACAATTATGATTAAATAGTTATGCCTGGATATTATAGGAATATGTTTTTTACCAATAATAGAATCTTAGAACATAAAATTTAAATATTCCACATTTAGGGTCAACAAGTATTTAACTTGTTACAGACTGTGCACACTCCACAATCCCACACTCATTGTTTTCTATGAGGGAAGCTTTATCTGCATGTTTATCTCGTTAAAATTGATATAATTTGTCATGTCACAGCAACAAGTGTGTCGCAAACTCATGTCTTGTGGTTGTCGATGTCCAAGCTTATATGCAATGCATCCAAACTCTGTGTTGGTGCTGAGAGATCTTTGCTAGGGGTCCCCTATGACTTTTCAAATGGTGCTGGAGTTGGAAAAGTGCTTGGAGAAACCACCACTTGGGCAAATTCTTCACTGTGCTAGAGCAAAGGAATTGATGTGAAATCCTTAGATTTGTTGAAGCCAAGGGACCTTTGGACTTGTGTAGTGATGGTAGAGAAGTCAAGTGTTAATGTAGTTTAGTCTGTGTTGAAGAAGTTAATCATATTGCACTCAACAATTTAGACCTCTGGTAGCATATCATCCTAAATAAGTTCTGGGAAAAGAACCTTGAGAGCTTGGTCAACTTTAGTGATGGAAGAAGCATCCACTTGACAAGTTGGATGGAATTCTGCCATGAAGATGAACATAAAAATAAAGAAGGAAAAAGTAAAAGAAAAGTAATGAAAAGTTATAGATAATGAGATCTAGAAAAATCCATGCACTCTTTAGAGACAATCAGAGTTGCCCCTCACCTTCACCAATGTGAATGTATAGAATAAAAAAATAGAATATAATTAGTCATTGCAAAACCTTTCTTGAAAGTGTTAATTGTTGTAATAAAAATCTTTGCCATTGGGATAGTGCAGAAAAATCCTCATCACTTGATGTAACAATGCCACTTTCACTAACAGAGAAAATGAATGTTATAACTTCTCAAAACCTCAATATGCAAACACTTAAGGAATTAAGGTACCATCACTAACCTAGTATAATGAATCATCTTTGAGAACCTAGTTAAAGATATTACAATACTACTATTTGCAAGTAGATTAAGGTCATTATCAACCACTTTAGGGGATATCATTGTTTGACCAAGAAACTTTGTAAACTCATCATTTACAATGATATAGATATGATATAAATTTAATTATTAGTTGAGCAACACCATAAGCAAGCCCACATTGATATTACAATTTTTTTCACTAGGTTTAAATGCAACATAAATGCCATATTTTATAGATAGAAATTTACAACTCCGAACACCACTAACTTCATTCACAACATAGATAAGCACATGCCACTCTCTTTTTAATCAAACTCAAAACTAATTCAACACCAAGCTAATCAAGGATCAATAATAAGTTTCTCTAGAAAAGAATTAAACATTGTAACCTAAGCCTTTTAATAGCAAGCCTAAGTGAAATGGTTTAATGCTTCCCCGCTATCTAATCCATAGCACACCACCATAACAAATATGCATCAAAGCATGGACTCTCGATCATATAATATGAACACGAGAAATGAGATCATTATCTTATTGTAGATCATCTTTCGGAGAATGGAAGATAATTTATATGTTTGATCCTTCATTCAAAATGACTCTCTTTTTGACTCAAGTTGACTAAACTTTAAACTTAGGTTTGTATTGTCTTTAATCCAATTATAAAAAAGTTTATGAGAATGACTACTCGAAGTAATAGACTAATCCATATAGTCTTATTTGACCTGCTCATAATCATGTATAGGAAGGATCCATTAGTACCTTGCTAAAAAGTTATAAACTAGCCTATATGCCATTTATAACAAACCTAGTGGATATTTATTTTTACCTATAGTAATATAGTAATAAATTATGGTAACCACAGATAGGGTAACATTAATTCTACCAACTCAAAATGTAACATTAAGTTGCTAATGTATGAGCCTAAGCATATACAAATGATATTTCTCAAATCCATCTTATAAGCCAAAGTAAAAGCTTATACAATTTGGTATAAATGGTATGTGCTAATATCTATACTTAAGAACATATGCAAAATGCACACACAAAGATTAATTTCTCAACTAGCTTGGGTGAAAATTGATAAAGGGTTTAGTAGTACTGACTTCCTGCCATTATGGCAATAAAAAAAAAATTTAAAAGGACTTGTTGATATGTAGCATTTGATACTTATAAGCATATTTGCAGCAAATACAAGTGCTAACAAAACTAACAAGTTATTATAAACTAGCGTTAAAAGAAAAAAATTTAGTCTCTCTAGACTATACTATATTTCCTCTTGAGGGCTTTATACCTCCATTCCACTATAAGTCTTAGGGTAAGTTAAATTCCTTACCTTACCACGTCTTAATATACCTTTGAGCTTCCCTTCAACCTATGTTGACCACATGGTCAAAACTAATGTCTAACAATTTCCCCCCCCCCCCCCCCCCCCAATAAAGTCTTTGTCCTAAAGATAAGTTGTACTAATGATTACCCTTTTTGAGGAACTTTATATAAGCTTTTGGTCCATCCTTCGTAATTGTACACATCAAAGAGGTGTTAGGCCCTTCACTCCTAGATAGTATACTTTTCAACTAGCTAACATAGATGAATTTTCACCCCAACTAACAGTGGCACCCAATAAGCTACTTTACCAATGCGCTCTAACATTTCATATGGACTAACATATTTATAAAAAAATTTATAACTCTTCACACTCCACAAAGGCACTAAGGTGTTTTGCTGCTCACTTGATGGAAAAATCATTTGCACAAAGACAAGGTCTTCCACTATATATTCCTAGAATTAGTGATGTTTATTGGTAAACTTCTTCGCTTTGCCCTAAGATACTTGTAAATTCCATTTGCGAAATCAATAAACATGTATGTACATTCCCTATATCCCAATGGGATTAAAAAAAATTGGGTGTGCTACCCTCTCAATGAGCTACTTTATGTGATCCTCTTGTGTCGCAATTAGACCTAATCCTGGAGTAGAAGTGGACATGCTCATCTCTTTTGGATCATGTCGATATCCAAGTCTCCCCATTGAGTTGAATGTAGAACAGAGTTTAAGGGACACCACTGCTAGTGGATCTCACCATCTACCATTTTATCGAAATACGAGAGCCACATGATCCTCCATTCCTCTAGCTGTCTTGGTTTCACCCACTCTTTCAGGATGGTGTAATGAAGACGCACCATTGCAAGAATGAGTCTCCACCACGATGCCACCACCACAGATATCCTTATTTGTTGCCTATTGAAGTAACAATGTCCTCACTTATTTCCCATAAAAATGACAATGATTTCGTACCTCCCAAAGTGCTTACACTTCTGTTGCTCTCTAGATATATCAACACTCATGGCCCATCACCTCCCAGATTGACATCCCGACTTCAACTCTTTGTAAACTCCTGAGTTTGGACTTCCCGGGAGGTCACCCAACCCAGTACTATTCAAACCCAAGGACGCTTAACCCCAAATATCCCAAGACCCTTAACCAATTGGAAAAGGGGGTGCACTCTTGTTCATGGGCCCTTTCCCTCTATATTTGAACCTCATGGATCATCTCTCAAGTCGTTCTCTTTGGTTGCTTACACTCTTGTCATGTCCCACCGGACTCGTATACTCCATCCATGCTGTAAATTCCATTTGTTTACCACTAGAATCCCATTAAGTTCTATAGACAAATCAATTGCCTCTAAATCAAGTTTGTTATGAACATCTTTGCTTAAATGCAAGCCCAACTCCAATGCTATTTAGAGATACCTTCCAAACATGGCAAAATATAAACTATATTTGTTCCACTATGTTAGCTATTGTTATAGGTGAATTGCACCACGAAAAATATAGGTCCCACTATCCATGCTTTTGGTCAATGCTATAGTGTAGCATATCCTCCAATACTTGATTTACATGTTTGATTTATCTGTTTGATTTCCACTTGAAAGTTTCAAAGTCATTTGGATAGCCTTTACAAAGCTCTTTTAGTGAACTTTAAGTCTTGATCACTGATGATGTCCTCTGCAAATTAAAATCAGGAAAAACCTTCTATAAGTAAACTATAACTACAATGACAGTCTTCCAAAAAGCCAACAACCACACATACTTTATCAATAATCTACTATAACCCACATTGCTCCTTTTGCCTTTATGTTTGTGGCAAATAAGTGATGAAGTTCATAAAAATACTTTAAAGAATAAGCAAAATTTGTAGAAGTCCCCTTTTAGCTTCTCCTGTGGCACCTTTACCCACTAATAGAGTTTGCATGATTTGCAATATTTGAAAATATTAA